GATATGACTACATTAGGAGATCACGGGGCCATCTTCTTTTCAGACGCCTGGGAGGGTTATCAGGAATTGAAGAGGAAGCAAGGTTAGAAACGAGAGGGTTGGGATGATTCTGAAGTTTATTATGGAAGGATAGGTATCTGGATTGGGCCAGATCTGAAACATAAGGAACATTAAGATCTTTATGGATAATTATATTAGTGACAAAGTAAGGAGCATTGAGGATTTTACGAAGGATTTTGGATTGTAAGGATTGGATGCGAGAGGAATTCGATGGTTTAGTGGAGCCCCATAGCTCAACTCCGTAAGTCCAAATAGGTCTTATTATAGTCAAGTATATGAGTCTTTTGTAATTAATGGGAAGTTTAGAGCGTTTGTCTAGTAAGTGCTGAAGTAATCGGAAACGTCGAGCGGTTTCTTGTCGTTTCAGCCTAGTATGAGGATTCCAAGTCAGTCGTTTGTCCAGGTGGAGTCCTAGGTATCGGATTTGCTCAACAGGGATAAGTGGAGTATTGTTAAAGGAAACTGTAGGACAGGAAGTCGTTGGTTTACGACTCTATTAGTTTATATCTATTAAATTGTGGTTCTTCAATCTTATAAGCTTTTAGGTAGATATTTCGTTGAAGTTTTTTCTCGATGGTTTTTGTTAAACGTTGTGGGTTTTATAAATACGGAAATGGTATGGAAGATAGTCTTTTTGATGGAAAAGAACATAAAAACTTTTCCCGAAATCATAAGAAACGATGATAGCGGAATATCTATGTCCAAATATACCGGAGAGAGGCTGTAGAGCTAAGAAGGGAGGCTATTTATAAAGCTGCCTATTAGGAACTGATATATATCTGTTGGTTTATCCCTCCCGGGCTAACTACCTTATATTTTCATTAGCCCATAACGACTGAAAGGGATAAATGGGCGGATGAACTCTCCAATTGTTTTTACAAGACAGATATATGGCTCTCATATGTTAATCGGCCGTTATGGGCCCAGCACCCCCTGGGAGCCGCCCGATTTTAATTAAATATATTATGATCGGGGGTGGTTCGGAAAAAGACGGAGACCTCTCGGGTGCAGTGAGTGACATCGCAATAAGAGAAGAGGAAACAGAGGCCGCAATGAACTGTGATTAATACCCGAGGCCAGGGCTACCAACCTTTCTAATTACCATTCTAACCCCTCCCCCCCAGTTAGTGGAGCTCTCCAATTTATTGGTTATCCTCCCTCCCCCCCCACTCCCGTTCCTCCTCAGCCTTGTTTACTGCTATCTCCGCTCTGGTTTATGTTTCAGCGAAACGAGGAAACAGTTGATGGTCATGGCGATGTCAATGCTATCTTTTAGAAAGAAAAAAGACAACATAACAATTTATAGTTTTTTACGTTAATTAAATTTAAATAAAATGTCTATGAATAGATTTTATTACAATAAATTAATCCAATGTTTAATTTATTATATCCTCCTGATGACTCAATTGTTAATTAAGTAGCAACAGTTTTAAAAATACCTAGTGCCACTGCAGTGATATGAAGCCAATAAAAAAAAATAAAAAAAATGAAATATATAACTAATTATTTTAATCCACGGTTATTAATTCGTTAATATGAATGTATATGGACTTTCTTATGTGGTATGATATAAATTACATAGAAATTTTATCTTATGACAATATATTCTATTTTTTTTTAATTTACTCTTTTTGAATGTAGAATTTTCGATTACAAGAAAAAATAGTATTTATCACAGATTTAGTTTCTGGAAATTTATTTATTTTGGAGTTAATGCACTCAAAATAGTTAAATAAGCTTATAATCATTCTCTATTTCTGAGGGTTTGCAATTGTTTTCTATAAATTAAGTTTAATCATAACATTGAGAGAATATATAGTAGTACAATTTCTTTTTTTTTTTTTTTTTTTTAAGCCTGTCCTTACAAGTATTTTGCAACCTATAGGCCTCTCCTAATTAAGAGGGTAATGGTCTAACTTTACGCGGGGATCAGCCGTAGTAGTAAAATAAAATAAATTAAAACAAATTTTTAATGACTATCACGTTATCTTCACTTTTGTTTATAGAATAACTGTAAATACTTTTTTAGCAAAAAATTAGTTCCTTTTTTAAAGTCATTCCAAAAAATACTTTCCTCTCTACTAATCATATTTTCAAAATTTTATTGAATAAATATTTAACTGAATTGTTTTATCACTAAAAAACAAAAAATAAATAATGTACCTAACCACGTTTTGATTCCATAAAGAAGGATTCATACAACTAAAGGTTTCCAAAAAAAATAACAACGGTAATATGATACATAATACACATTATGATTTTAGCCCTCCAATGTCAAAAGTAATGAGGTAGATAATCATCTATCAACTATCTAAGCAACGCCGAGATAAAAAAATAAAAATGCAGAAAAACCTGCGTTGGTATAGACCGTAGCGCCTAAACGAATGTATAAATTTCAATGAAACTTCGCTAAAGTCATTTTCTCGACACCCTTTAAATTTATTTATATAACATACTTAAACGAAAAGAAGCTGGAAAAAAAGTTACGAGGGATGGTAAAATTAAATTCCGTATAACTCAAAAATTATACCGTTTTTTGGGGATATTGTATATGGTTTTTTAAAAGTTTATGAAATTTACTAAAAGAACAAAAAAACGTTAAAATCGGACAATTAGGAGAAAAAATATGGTCTCTAGTTTTTTTTCCTTAATAGGCGAAAATTTGGATACATTTAAAATATACTTTTTTAATTGATGAGACTAAAAAAACTTTTTTTTCTACAGATATTTAATGTTTAAGTAAATAAATAAAATAAAATAAAAAGTATCTTTCGTAAGAACATCTTTCATAAGAAATAAGTATCTTAATGTATACCTTTATTCTCAGTTATATATTTTAACACTTCAATCATCACCTCTGGAATCAACTTACTCATTGACTGCATAGATAACTTTTTCAACTAAAAATATCACTAAAATTATTATGAGACTGATTATGAGGATTATGAGACTGATGAATTGAGTTTATTTATCCTACTCGATTAGAATGGTTTATTCAAAACTATCGACTGAATCCTTGTTAAAAATGTTCCAATTTCGATAATTTTTTTTCTCATTTTTTAGAAAATTTAGAAAAAAATTATGTTATCATGTGTATAAACCGTCATAAATTGTAAATTGTGTTTTGAGCTATGCGCGAATTAATTAATAATATTTAATATTTTTCTAACTTTTTGGGAGGATATAATTATTTTTCCTGGCAAAATAAGATTTTATCAAAAGTCTTAAATCCAAAAAGCAAAAAACAAAAACAATAAAAATAAAAATAATTATTCTTCTCAGCTAAAGGAAAAAAATGATCTTCGAGCTTATTGCTTAACCATTGGATTTGACGATAAATTAACAATGGTATCGTGTAATTTAACAACAAACAATAAGGTAAATTTATAAACAATGTAAATTATTTTCAAAAAAGAAATAATAAATAAAGATATTAGTCATTTCCATTAGGTAATTTCAATGTTGGCGACCCCTACTAGCCCCAAGGTGATTTAATAGAAGTTCCAGAATATTGATTGTGTAACCGAGGACGGAATGACATAATTCAGAGGAAGCTGTTAGAATCAAATAGGTTCTAATTAATTAATTATTCACTTATAAAAGGGACACCGAATCTCCATTGACACCGACCTGGGCTCAGAGGCAGGTGGGGAGGGGGTAAAGGTTTAGTATTCACACCGGGGCCAGGGTGTTAGCCGTAGACAAACCTCTTTAATAAACCTTTCACATAATTATAATTAAAGTTTACTAATTACCATGGAAGAACCGAAATTAATTAAAAAGTTTTTTTTTCCCCGACATGACGACCCACCCTTGTGTCAAGGTTTTCTTTTTAATATATTTTGCAAGTCCACTGCTCATTAAAATTTTAATAAGAACAGAATGGCAGCGATGTTATTGAGTAATTGTCTTTCAGTTACACAATTTACGAGAGTAACAAAATAATTTCTTTTTACTGTGCTGTCTAAAGTCGGACCATTAATTACATCTGTAGGAGTCCGCCTTTCATTTCTCTTCATGGCTCAGGAAATGTAATTGTATAGTTTTTATTAGCTATTCACGAAATATTTAAAGTATTAGCAATCTTGGAATCGGAATAGCTTTTTTAAGATTTTTTTTTATTAATATTAGAATTTTATTTTTATATTAATAGCACCAAAGGAAATATCCACAGTTATTTTTTATGGTATACTAAGATCATTTTTATTTTTTTTAAAATCAGTTATAAACAGGAGGGATTACGATAGCGTTTTAGAGTCCAAGATTTAATTAACAAATTACGATCTTTTTTACTATGGTACTGGTACTGGTAGGAAGGACAAGACAGGCCAGTGGACCTTTATTTCCAAACCTATCTTAGATAAAGTTTTAATCTTATTGTAAGATTGTAGGATTTCGTTTGTAGATTTTGTTAGTGATAAGTAACCTGTCTCACAAAATCTTATTTATTATGGAACTGCTCTTCCTATTTTTGTTTATATATATATTTTTTTTTTTACGCTTCTGAGTAGTATTTCGACTCTGGGTTCGGGAGACCCTCCTAGGGCACACCTAGCCTCAACAAAGTAGGTTCACTTAATTAAATATTTAATTAAGGAGAAAAATCTGGCTGTGGAGCGTGATCTCAGATTTATCATCCCTCTGAACAACCTACAAAAAACTGAACCCAAGACCATTCATGGATTGTTTGTTGTGGTAAGGTGTTTTCTTTTTTACAAATAATGTTGTGCTGATTCTTCGCTGTTGAAGTCTTATCTTATCTTTTGTAAGCACGTAAATATAACATCGGACAACTTTATGAAATGGAATCCTCATCCTATAGAATCGATATCCTGTTGGGGTGAGAACGTCCGACTGATTCTGCAATCAAAGCAAGGCTCACTCTCAACTTCTAGCCGAACCGCCCCACAGATCCACAACAAAATCCCGCTGGGTGAGGAATGGACAGACGGCTGTGTGACTCTCGCGGTGCGGAGATAAATGGCCCTGGAAGTGGTAAAGAACCCGATGGACCACGAACGGAGGTGGCGCTGCCCTGTTCCGCGTCACCCTCTTCAGATTTATGCTCGTGTCCTGGGCTACCTGAGGTCGCCTCTGACCCTCCAGATATATTAGTGTCCTCTCGGCTATCTATCACCTCTCTGTCAGTCTCCTCTTTTTTTCTTGTATTGTTTTTTCTCTTTTTTTTTTCGTCCCCCTTTCTATTTATCAATGTTAGGTTTACCTGTGTTTCGTTTATAGGTAGGCAATTGACGGTATCAGATAAAAAAAAAAACTGACTGTTGCCCCGAGGAATCTTTTAAAAAAGAATTCCGTGTCGAACGGGTTGTTGCAAAATAAGTTTGATCTGTTTGATCCTAGAAGCATGTTTGCTTTTAAAGTATGATAAATTCTATCTAGCGGTCGAGTTCAAAGGTTCCAGTCAATAACCGTCCTTTCTGTATCGGGTTCAACACCTTTCTATTGTTCTACCATACTACACAGACCACAAAGTATACCTTTCATTGAAATTGCATTATCATCGAAGCTTTTGAACCAAAAAGCTACCTTGTTATCATATTGCACTCTTTTACCTCTGTTTTGTTTTTAGTTCTGGTTATTTTCAACCCTAAGTATTTTAGTAAAAAAAATGTCTCATTTGTTAAGTCCATAATCACTTAATAAATATATCTCATATTGATTATTTTAAAAATACGTGTAAATGCTGAGGTTGCAGAGAACTCTATGAAATAGTCAAGATTGGTTACTAATATAAACTTTCAAAAGACCTCAACAGAGCGTATTCAAACAGGATTCAGGGGATGAGGAGAGGCTAAGACAGGAAGAATAATCGTTAGTGTCGGGAAGAGAAGCTTCCAAATCATTATTGGTCGGCGAGCTGTGAGGTGAGCCTTAAGATCTTGCAGGATGTTGACCACAAACGGGAAGATGAGTCTCTAGACTTTGTGGGAGGAAGAGATACCAACGAAGGGTTTGAACCAGAAGGCCTATAAGCGATATATTACTCGTTAGTGACCCATTTTTTCATAAGCTTCAGAAGGTTATCAGGGATAGTTTGGTATGAGAGGTTATGAACTAGAACATTTAGGTAGGGTAGGGAGTTTGCAATCAGAAGAAGTATAACGATATCGGGCTAAATCTGGAACAAATTGAATACGAATATTGAGTTATGGATAATTGTATTGTGACGTAATAAGGAGCGTCAAAAATTCGAAGAAGGATATTTTTTTTAGATTCAAAGGTATTTTTTATTTCTTACAGATTTAGATAAACTACATGAAACGTGTATATATATATATATATATATATATATATATATATATATATATATATATATATATATATATATATATTCGAGTTTCTATTTATGTCGAATGTCTAACTTATGAGGGTAGAGTTGCCTAAAAAGATATTTTTAAAGTGCAACAGGTACTTGTTAAATACCCGGCCGGATTGAAACCTCCCTTGTTATCTAACCTTAATCACATAACCTCCCTTCTACATGCATCACATAACAACATCCCGTCTAATCTTAGGTATTCCATTGTTTATATTTTGTTCCTTGTGTAAGCTCTGTTATTTTCGTAAAGTTGCGGATGTTGCTACATTGTTCGAATTGCCGTGTTCAGAAGAAGAAGCTATCAAATATTTTCAAGACTCCAGAATAATTGCAAAGGTGAAATATTGTGATGAAGGTCATGAAATGAAGTTGGACGCGAAAGATAGGAACGTTAGAGGGATCGAGGATTTCTTTTTTAACAGCTTTAAAATTCAGTTATGGGTGATTCCATAATTTAATTATTTCCTATAAATTAGTATTTCCCATAATTTTTTGTTTTATTAATTTATTTATTTATTTTTTATGTACATATGTTCTTTATAGTATTCATAGTGTTTCTTTTATATGTACATATGTTGTTGAAGTGTTTTTTTTTATTATTTCATTTATTTTTGTCTATTTTTTTCCTATTTTTATTATTTAATATATTTTTATATATACGTTGTATATATAAATATATTTTTACATTATATATGTATAATGTTTTGGTTTATTTAACATATATCTTGTAAAATAAAAGATTTTTTTTATTATTACATTTGTTTTTTTTTTTGTTTACAATTTCAATAATATGAATATAATACAATAATTATGAATATGAAGATATAATAATATGAATGACAATAATATGAATACGAAGATATTATCAGTGCCTTTTCATAATTATCAGTGGTAAGGTGATAAACATAGGCAGATAGCAGTCGGACCCGAACGGCTATTGAACAAGTACCTTTCAACAAAATATGACGTTGCTATATTTTAAATAACTTTGACATTTACTTTTTAATTGGATGGTTCTTGGAGTTTTCTTAAAGATCAGTAACCAGGTACGAGTGTGAAGAAGATCGAATTAGACCATGAAACTTCATCGAAAGAGTTCTCCGTGCAAGAAGACGAAGACCCGACAAACGGAGACGGTGCTAATTGTGAAAGAGCAAACCTGACAGTTAATTAGACTTGAAGAGAAGGACAGGAGGGACAAGGAGGGAGGGAGGGATGAGATGTTTATAATAAATCCGCCTCCTCTAACCGTTCCTGACAAGAAAACAATTTCCCTAATGGCCGGAATGCTCTTTCCAAAACCCCACCACCGCCACTCTCTCCCTATATTAGAAAACTTTCCGTTTCAGTTTTTTTTTTTTTTTTTTTTTTTTTATTATTTATTTATCAAGAAAGATATCCACTCCTGACCCTCTGTCTCAGCCCTTTTTTGTCTTTTCAAATGTTATGTCATTGTTCGTCTTGAAGAGAACGGTCGAAATTTCGATCAGACTCGTATTTATTGTGTCAAATAAATTTTCATCATGTAATAATATAAATAATGATAAGCTTATACCAATCCATGCAAAACTAAGTGATTAAAAAAAATTGCGTAACTAACAATAATCACAATTATTTTTCAAACGATAATTATCCCCAAAAACGATTGAAAATTAAGAAAGTATCACATACGATGTGATTTACCGTATAAACGAATTCAGGTTTCATTAACTTAAAAGACATTCCGATTTAAAAAAAAAACAGAAAAAATAATGTGTCCATCAATGTATCAAGGGGCCAGATTAAGATTAAACCCATCATTGCTGTACAAAAACCTACTATCATTCAAAAACCTCAAATTGAGGTAAATACAAATAAAATTTACTTCATTAAAATTTCTTATAAAATTAAATTTAGGCTAAATTTAAAAAAAAAAATACAAAGTTGATTAATGTTATTTGCTATTCTGTTGAATTAGAAGAAAAACTATTACGAGAAAACTATCATATGGCTTGGTTCTTACCCACATCAGTTTGATTTGCACTTAATGAATTGTTACAAAAATTTTCAAGTTCTAAAATTTTGTAACAAACCCGTAAAAAGTTTGTCACTGATTATATAAATTTGCTTTGAGTCGATTTGTGTCTTATAGAATAAATAGGCTGCCTTATTTTTAGCTTTATGCTTGGAAAATTAGGTTTTTTATTAAACATTTTTTAATAAAAAAATTCTCTGCTGTTTAAGTAATACTGTTGTAAGTGCTAATTTTATTTTGACCGCAATCAGTAATTTATAATTTACTTATTCTCTTGGTGTGAATGTGTTCATGTATCCAATATAATTATTGTCCACGTGGCAGATTATTATATATCTAAATAAAAAAAAAATCTTATTCTCTATGTTTGTTTAGTTATTTATATATATTTGGTGTTCATTTAAAACAATTTTTCAGACCCAGATTAGATATTTTCCAACTATTTCCAAACCTTATTTAAATTCTAACTTAAAAGATCTGTGACTATCAGTATTTACTATGATCTAATTTTAAACGTTTAATTAAACATTTGGTCTGCTCGGCAGTGATATAACTTTATATGCGTGTTACTCTTTTATTTAAATAATTGCTAACTCAGTCACTATTAGTTTATTTATTTTTCAGATACTTTTTTTTTTATCTTCTTTGTTCTGGAAGAGAACTGTCAGTCGATGTTTGTTCATTTATTTGTTACATGTTTCGAAAAGAAGGAACCGTTTGTTTCCACTGGATCCCACACCGTGATTTCAAAACTGCCCATTTCTATTTGTGTCCATTTGGCTAAGTCAATTGACGTCAAAGGAAACCAGCTGCCCTTCCCGCCGGCTTTGTGTTTACCTTCTTGATTGTTTTCCCCAGTCGCTCAATCCCATGTCATTCCTGCGGTTCGAGTTCTCAGTGAAGCAGAGTGCTTTTCAAGTCCCGCTTCAAGTCTAGTTTTCCATCAAATCAGAAATTATTCGTCAAATCTATAACTTTAACCTTAAATTTAAAGAGAAAATTATTTCGGTAGTTTCAGACGATATATTTTTATTATTTTGATTTCATTTTGAATCCCATTTTAACCATTACCTTAACAAGCCTATTTACTTTTAAAGTTACTAACACTAGAATTTGTGATTTGTTCTTCTCTACGTATTGCCGAATATAATAATCTGTCTCTTTAAGTAATGGTGAATAACAATTTTATTAAATAAGAGTAATAATTATATTAAATAAAATATGATATATATATATATATATATATATATATATATATATATATATATATATATCAAAAAAATATTACTCTTGATTTGGTTGGAAGCCTATAAGAGCCGAGCGCATCTTTTTTATCTCGTCCAAATACTTGTTGCAAGATTTGTATTACAGTTGCTAAAATTTTAAAAATGGAAAATCTGTACCAATTACTTTACTTTATTTTTATTGAATATTAATACATTTTGCCTCATTGAAGAGTATTAATAATAGGGCTATAATAATCATTTGCATAATATGTACATACAAAAGGGGAATATATATAAATAACTAAAATAGAGAAAATAAAGAAAAAGAAATAAAATAAAAAAAATGTAATGTACTTATGCATAGTAAATGAAATAATAGATAGAAGCTAAATGAAATTAAAATAAATAAAATCTACTCCTATGTAAAATATTTATATTCGTCCAGGGGACTTTGAATCATGCTTTGTATCGCAAATAAGGAAGCCAAAGCAGGACTCCAGGAGATCTCAGTGCTTCTCTCCCAGCCACGTCACTGGTTAACTTATCACTGAGTATGATAGAAACAAATGTCCACAATGACCAACGAAGGGTCTTTGGTTCAATACATTATAAGGAAGTACTATCCTTGATCAATGGTTGTGCAAGGAAGTGAATTGACTGAGATCACGATCAATACTATCTCCTTTTTAATCAATAAGGAGTATCCCCCTTATAGAGGCTATGAGATCTCACCACAGCCAGTTCCGAACTCGGTTCCTGGAGCATAGGAATGCAGTTCCTTACTCACTAAGCTGAGAGTGTTATAGCTTTTGAAATTTTAAACATTATGTGTGGTTGCGGGTCTTAAGACTAAAAATTAAAACATAAATTGACTTAAAACCTCTTTCTTATATATTTCTGTTTTAAATATTTTTAAAAATATTTTTTTATGTGAACGTATTTGCGTATTTGAATTGATTAATTTTTTAAGTTAAACTAACACTAATAACTGACTAATGACTAGCTAATAAATTTTAAAAATTGACTTGTTAATCAAAAAGTATAACAATCATCATTCGTTCACATCGGAACATCAGTTGTAAAATATTCCATTCACATCGAACAAGAGCAAATGCAGAATTTATATAAAACATTTTATTTTATTTTAAAATCCACAGACACGTTATCAAATCCGCACATAGTGGCGACATGTTATAAAATACCTGAAGAGTACCGAAAAGATGTTGGATAAGGAAATCGTTTGATGAAATATTTTTCTAATCTCTCATGTGCCTTAGATGCTAGATATGAACCGCTTATTGTCATTGGTTTTGCGTCAAACAGTCTTAGAATTAATTAAAGGGTTAAACAATTTATATATATTCACTAAGGATTTTGATCCTGTATTTTGTTTAGTCGCAAACTTGCTTAGCTGAGGTGAATGATTATCAATCATATTTCAAGATGCAAAGGGCGAATGCAGCTCTGATCAGGACCATTGTGTCTGTCCAACAACCGAATATTTTGACAGTTTATAAGGGCTCAATCAGAACTACGAAGGGTTATCGGCAGGTTAATCAAGCGTTTGGTCTAATTGGCTATATTAAATTCGATTTGCTAAATGGTGAAAGAGCAGGTAATATAAGGGCCCCCTGAGGAATGAATAGACATAGCCGGCTAAGGGCTAAAGGGGTTAAGATAATGAAGTAGGATTTGGCCCGGGCTGGAGGAAGTTTGACCCCGGACCCCTTTGACCCTAAGACCTGGCTGGTAAACATTCGGCTCTCGGCTTTCAATGATGTGGCCTCTAATTACTGGCTTGTTGAATTATTAATTAGTTATACTGGTTGCCTCTTTGTGGGCCTCGCTGGATGTTGACTGATAGTAATTGGCAATTTCTCCCTTCCTCTGTCCTCTTCTCTTCTCCCGTATGAGAGAGTCAATTAGCAGAAGCAGGCTGTACACTGCTTGAAAGAGGTCTCTCCCATATTAGCTATTCATTTTGTTTAGACTCAACGGTCAAACAGAAGTCACCATATGGCCAAGGAAGGAGAATTATATATGAGGAGCTAGGACCTTCCTTTGTGTCGGCGGGGACTTCCCTCACAAATTAATTTATTCATAGAATGTCGAACCCCGTTTTGGAGGCAAACGGCCCTTTTGAACTCCTTCCAGGAAATCAGTTAAATTCTTTAATTAAATATTCTTAATTAACTCCCGTCCATTATCTCTTTATACGAAAATCTGATTATTTCGTTTTTGTGGGTAGACTTCTCTCAAAAATTTATAATTGCAATGATCTCCACATCAAAAAAAAAAAATTCTATTCAGGATTTATAACACATTTTCCAATTTTTTTCTTTTCAAATTAAAGCTGAATTTTGCAAAGTACATGAATTTATGTATTGTATCATATACAGTTTTGTGTATATGTATATATATTCATATCGTTTGTTAAAAATTAATAATCATTTAATTGAACACTTGGGGATGGAGTGGCTCAGTGGTAGGGTTCTGATTTTCCAATACTCAACGTTCCAGGTTCGAATCTAGACTCATGACAGAAAAATTATTTATTCTGTTTCATCAGCCGTGGGGTGACTCTGGGGCACACCCAACCTTCAAAAAGTGTATACCGGGCGGCTGAGCGTGATCTCAGTCAAATCACCTGCTTGCACAACCGTTGACTAAGAAACAGTACTTTCCCTTAATAGTACTGAACTCAAGACCCTTCGTGGGTTGTAATGGTACAAGTTTTTTTAACACTAAATAAGTACTGCACTTCGAATTATACAAAGATTTTTAGTTCTTGAATAATACAGTATTGTTCTAGCCCTGAAAAGTTCTGGTTATGTGTAAGTTATAATTCACCAGTTATTTAGTGTTCAATCAACTGATTATTATTTTTCAACAATTGACATTAATGTGAGAACCATAGAGTTTCGATAAGTCACCAAAAAATTGCCGTAATATATTTATAGACCAACCCTCAAGATCCTTAGATAATATGTCATATCAACAGTTGAGACAGTTAGAATCAATATATATTTAAAACTGTATGCATGTACTCCTGTTCGTATATGTGCATACCTATACACTTGCCGGAAATAGTCCACAACGTTAATAGACCAAAATGATGGTCTAACTAAAACCACTAAAAATATATTCTTGATAGGAGCTGTATGCAAAGTATAATCACAGAGTAAATATTTAATTTCTATTTCATGACACTCAAATAGTAAACACCTGTTCAGTTAAAAAGACAGGGTACTAATGAAGTTGGTTTAGAAAGCGTCATGTCGAAAAGATAATGCAAGAAAGTTTCGAATTTTTCGATCTACCCTTCAGGCGTGTTCGATATACCATACCGCATAACAAACTATGCAAGACTCTAGTTAAACCTATCCATTTACAATTAGTTTAGAACAGTTTTATATCATTTCAAATAGTTTTTGTACATTTACTTCGTGTTAATGGCAATATTTATTCTTTCTTTCTCATTTTAAATTAAAATTAGTTGCTTGTTTTTTTTAATCATGATATCTGTGTCGGTGGTCAAGAGACTGTCTGACTTAACTCCTACCCAAAAATGAGAACAGATTTGCTTATACTTCGGAGATAGCAAATTTTAAGCCTACCAAATTTTTATATTTGTGTAATCTAATAAATTTTATTTTTATATTTTTTAGATATATTAGTACTTCTTGTGTTATACCTTGAACTCAGTCTTTTATAAACATTTAATATTTAGATAGCTCCTAACTTTGTTACAAACAGAATCATCCATAACAACCTTAATGTACCATATGGTTCAAATTTGGTCTAATCCAAATAACTATTCTTACATTGCGAAATTCAGAACCATCCGAACCCTCTCGTTAGTAACCTTCCTCTTTGATCCCTTATTACCCTTCGAGGGGACTGAAAAGAAGATGGCCTCTTGATCTTCTACTGTAGATATATTGTATTATTAGAGTGCTACAAGTGGGTAGTTTCTCTACATGTTTTTTTAGTTTCATTATATTACTGTTCTCATATTTACTAAAAGTATTTTTAGTTTAATACAGTAGTAAATATTTAGATGTCCTAGAATTTTTAAAAATATGACGTTGAAAAATAAGGAAACTTTATAAAAATATTTTGGTGAGCACTGTTCTTTTGATAAATAAACTGTTTTTTTACTTTGTTTGATTCATATGAAAAATATTTCATTTTTTCACAAACTATTTTAGTTGCTTTCTCTACCTTCTGGCAATACATTTTTATCAAACTTATCACAAGAAACCTAAAGAAATTTTTCTCTGAGAATAATACATATAGTTTCAATTAGCCAGCGGACAGGACTGAAACACATTTGCGCAGCGGTAGTTGTTCGAAACCCCCCTCCCTCCCTCGTATTCTGCTTAATTACTGGGAGCCAGTAAATTAGTCGAGTGTAAAAGCCTGATTTAGAAGGGACCGAATACTACTAGGGACAAATAGTCCCTCGTTAATGGAGCTTTAATTTGCATAATGTTAAATATAAAGATAGCATTTCCCTAACTATCTCAGATAACTGAGAGAGTACACAGGGCAGAACGTTCGGTCCTGTCATGTTGTAGTAATTTGTATGATGTCTAGAATTAACGGTCACTGTTATTATGTATACCAAAGGCTCTTCGGTTATATTTAACGTTATATGTTAATGAATATTTCATGTAACTGAGGAATACGAGACCAAATTTGTTTATCTATATGTTTGACACTTCTTAAAAAAAATCTATAAAATATTCAATCTGATACTAACAAAGTAGACAGTACTTACGATGCTACCTATATTTTAATTCATAAAAAATCTTGGTAAAATTAATAAATAGGGACAACTACAACAGTTAATCAGCGCAACTCAAATATTCAATAATAGATTGCATATAAAAAAGAAATAATTACAAAATAAGAAAGATATAATTACAAAGCGTTAATAAAATGATAAAGTCAATTTAAATATTGCATAATTTAAAATATGCTTTAAAACTTTAATAACAGTTAAAATCGCTACTGGTCATTTCGAATAACTTTTAATGTAATTTGATCATCATTTGCTGTTTTTATCTTTGAGATTTTCATGTGTTAAAATATTTTTTGAAGGAAGTTAGTCAACTATTCTTTATATCATGGGTGATAAATATTCAGGACTCAGTCATTATAAAGTTTTTATTAATGCCGACGTTTACTCTAAAATACTAATACAGTACTTGAATACCTTCAGTGCTCGAAACACGTCCTGATGATGCCCCACATGTTTGGGTTGAATCGTCGGCACTAGCTGAATATTTATCACCGATGAAAAAATATTTTCAGTTAAATTTACAGAAAAAATTATTTTTAGAATCTAATTTCCTAATTTAATATAAATAATAACATTAACTCAAAGTTATTTTATTTGAGACCTAGAACAAAACAAATTATCTCTTGATAAATTTGTTTTCTCCTTCACAGCAAACACTATTTTCATTTGTTTATAATTAATTACTAATGAAAAAAATGATATTAGATTATTTAATTAATAACACGTTTATGCTTATTATATTTCAAGAAAAATAGAGAAGGATTTTTTTCTTTTTATAAAAAAATAATTAATCGCTGGCTTTATGTAAAATATCTATAAATGGTAAAATAATACTTTAATTAATTTTCACTTTGAACGTGGTTTAAAAAATAAGTTTAATTGATACTCCACTAATTACTATTAAACAAGTTTTTTACATTATCATAACATAAATTAATTTATTTACGTAAAACTAACAATTTCTTTTTATCAGTGATCATATTTATATTTTTGTACCAAATTGTGACGTCGTTTTTTACTTTGAGATCATAATCGAGAGATGAATATTACAATTAGGTAACTAAAGTGTTTAAAAAATATAACTTATTATCCATTGTTCTTTAGACGATATTTTACCATGCGTATTATACTTTTGATTGCATACTATAATATATATTATCATACCTTTTGAAACAAATTTTAATGGTTCTCGTTTGCATATCCAAGCCTTATATAGCCAAGGGTCATTTTTTATACAATTTGTTGCTTTCATGCAGTTTTTAAAATGGTTATCAAATATCTTTTCGAATCTGTGTACACAGATGGTGCCCATAACGTTCCATCAGGTTACATTTCTAACCGTTGTAGATTATCAAGAAAAAATTCCATTCTCTAACTATACCTATTCATTTATCAAGTTTTATCGAAAAATTCAATTATAGTTATCTATTTGTAATATTCAGATATGAGTTTAACTAAACCTATATTTATTGTATTAAAAATTAATTATTTATATCAGAATGAGCTTTTAATACTAACAAAAAAAATAAAAGAACTTATAGAATTTTATTTTTTGTATTTTGTTAGCAATAATAAAAGGTATTAATGTTGTGTTCTTAGACTGATGCCGAAACAAACCTTCACCAATTTAAAAACAAGTACTTATATAATAGTTTTCCATATTGAAACTATTGAATAATTTTTAGTAATCCATTTATATTATTTAAATGTTTTACTTGTTCCCTTCTTATACTTTCCTCATTCTTGCTGTGAGGGTCAGTTTGTCATTGTTTTTTTAGTTTATTTCTTGGGCGTATACTTATTGCGAAGCAATTGTTACTAAGAGCGTGTGGGTTTTCTTGCACACCCGGCGTCCTAGAGAGCTGATGGATGGCTTCCTATTCCTAATGCAACTTACATATACTAATCAAAATTTAATTTTTCTTTTCCTTGGGGGCAAGAGCTGAGGGATTACGTAAGTTTGAAAATGTTTGATTCGAGATTACTTTATTTTTGTTTATATTTAATGGTAGAATTGATTATTTTTCTCTAACTGGTATACATTAAAAAATAATACAACTCTCGTCCTTTTTATAATTATAGGGCTTATGAACACAAAATGGTCTATACCAATCGAAATTTTCTTTTTTCATTAAAGAACATTAAACTCTGCTTTGATTAAATAACTAACATGATAAACGCGCTCGAGGATGAAGTACCATTATATTTAACAACTTTGCAGTTCAGTTTAGTGACATTCAAATACCCTTTTATTAATTTTGAATACAAATTTTAGATCATCAATTTTATTATAATATTTTTTTAATTTTATTTTTCTTTATGTTTTTCTCTTATTTCGAACCTAAATACAACCCCCCTTCTATGACTCATCTTACTGTCAGTAAATCTGATTCCCTTTCCTTTTGAATTGAATTTATGGTTAGAATAGGTTTTGTTAATTAAATACAATTGAAGTATAACGTTACACAAAACAGCTTAGGAAATAGTTTATTTATTTATTTTTTTTTTGTTTTGGGATATGACTTTTTCCGTGGGCACCAATTGGCTTAGTAAAGAATATTTTTTAGGATTAAGTTTTTATCTTACTCTTTATTTTTTATAATTGATGAAATATAATGATGGTTTTTGATTCTGTTTTTAATTTTGTGGTTTATTTTATATAATTTGGAAGTTTATGTATCACAGTAAGCTATCCATTCTCATTCCTCTGGCCACAAAACAGGCCCTTTAATATATGGCCGACTAGTGCAAAACAAAAATGAATTGTTAACACATTTCTCTTGTATTTTTTTCTTATTTATTTCAGATACATTACTGTTTAGAATTATTTAAAAAAAAACAATTAAATAGATTAGACAGTGGATTCATACTTTTAATCTATTTACAAATTTTATTTCAACTTTTAATATGTAATTTCAGAATATTGCAAGTATGGATAGGTTTTACTTATATAAGTTCTAAGATGCTTACATAAAAGTACCATATTCATTTCATTTTCTTGATAGGCAACTAAAAATGGAAATAAAAATTTCCTCTTCTAATGAGTTCACAATTTTATTAATCTTTACTCATGAGCTTAGATTTAATATATATTTAACATTCTGGATCGAATCTTGAAGGTAAACTTAATTTAACTAGAAATAACATTCAGAAGACATAACTAACTATATTAAAAAAAATGATAAAACATGTTAATAAATCATGTTTTTTTTTTTTTGTTTTTTTAAAGGTGTCATTTCCGTCATGTATTTTATATATTTCCTTATGATGTAAGGTTTTCAAATTTCAAAAAATTTTTAAACATTTATATCTTTTTAATTTTGATACACAAGCAACCTTTTGTCTTAATTTAATATTTTCATTAAATGTAAAAATACATTTTTAACCTTTTACATGCCGCCCCCCAATTCTAGTAAAAATTTTATTTATTTTTTATGTAATATTGGTCTCAAAATGGTTCAGTTTAGATAGTTCCAAAAAAAAAAAAAAAACCTTAAAAATAAATTCCCTTTGCTTTTCCAACTTGTTGCATAAGTGAAACAATGGCAGATTCAGGTTATAGAAGGAACTTTTTTCTTAACAGTTTTATTAGAATATTCAATACAAGAATAGTATTGTTTTTAATAATACTGATAACAAATTATTATTATATGATAGTAAAACATCATAATTGTTATTAAAATAATATGAAATGCGTATGTAAGAATACGGAAATTTTTTTTTTTTATACTAATATAGAATTTAAGATCCTTGATATTTTGTGTTGGGGCCACAATGAAGACACCTTCCTTAGGAAACCGAAATGATATGTCCACCTTTCTTATTCTTGGTATTCCGAATTATTATAAAATGTGAATAAGAAAACGATGCAGTTATGACAAGAACACAGTAATGACTGAGAAAATTAACACCAAATGATGTTGCCGTAGTATTTTGAATAATATGTTCTAAGAACTAAAAAAAAAATTATTGAAGGAAGTTAGTCGACTGTTCTACATACCATGGGTGATAAATATTCAGGATGCAGTATTTTTTATTTAAATTTAAAATTTTTCAAAATATTGAAACGTTAGCAGAAATAAAAAATTTAATTTATTTAAAAAAAAAAAGACTGCGTCCTGAATATTTATCACCCATAAAAAAAGCAGTTTTTTTTCTATCGGTTAGCAATTATACGAAAAATAGAAAAGGTTGGAATAGCAATTAGCACCTATAGTTCTATGAATTTCCATGTGCAGTTCTGTACTGAGAAAACAATGAATAGAACGAACATTTCTGTAGCATGAACCTGCCATTGTTCCAGATGTAGAACATTAAAATTAAAATTAGTAAAACTGATTACTGACAAGGGATTATTTTCAGAAATTTATCACAATCAATTTTATCAATATTTAAATTAAATTTCATTGCTGTAGTATTAAAAAAAAAAAAAAAAAGCTCAATACACTTCTTGACACTAAAAAATCAGAAACATTAACTTTTTATTCACCGAACTAAAAGTGATAAAATCTTTATTGAAAAAATATGTCAACCTTTGTTTTGATGGAAAAAATTGTTTTTACAAAAAAATAATGATTAAGTTGTCCCAAAAAAAATTTTGATATATGTTCCTCTTCACTTGGAACAATGGCATGTAAAAGGTTAATTAGATGAGGTTGCTCAATTTTCATAATTACATTGGATTTTGTTGGCAATGTAAATGTGAAGTTTGTATTGTGTATGTAATAAAATTGTGTTATTGATATCTATTGTTATTGATTTGAGTTATTACTAAAGGTGATAACCCTAGGAAGACATATCCCTGACCCGAAGGTACTAACATTGGGTATCCATTGCAGGTTGTTCGGCTCGACGGGAGCTTGTTCAGGCTGCGGGCAGACTATCCCCGCCTCAGAGTTCGTGATGAGGGCAGCCCCACACCACGTATTCCACCTCAAGTGCTTTGCCTGCTCCAAGTGCGGATCCCAGCTTGTACCAGGCGACAGGTAACACACATTTCCCTTCACCTCTCATACCGACCAATTTGGTCTCTGTTCTTGATGGTAGCTTGCGGCTCCCCTGTATCAATACTCTATAAATTTCTATTCAATCAATATTACCTTCTAACAAGAGCTTTTTCAACTGATTAAAGTATTAGATTGCAGAGCTTTGAAAAAAATACATATATATCTCTTTTGACCCCAAGATAATCCACATTTTATTCTTCATTACCATCTATTACAAATACCTTGTATAATTTATTAAATAGTTTAAATATTGCTGCATTATATAATATAATTAAAATCTGTAAAATATAAATATTAGGAGCAAAGATAAATTTTAATCCCAAAAGTGAAATTATTTTTTAACGCTCAAAATACTCCAGTTTGACAGAGTCTGGCACCAGGATGTTCTCTTTAAACTTAAAATTATACTACCATACACGTACTATCTTATCCTTCAATCTTTCATCTTGGACAGATTTTTTCAGTTCGGCAGGGCACGGAAATATCTTCAGTTCGTCAAATCTTGGCAGGAGTTCTCCAAGGTTCAATACTAGCCCCTCTACTTCACGTTATATACACTTACGATATACCTATTAACGATAAGTTCTTGACAGCTACTTATGTAGACGACACAATAATTATCACAAAACATCAAGATCCTACACATGCTTCACTAACTCTACAACATCACTTACTTAAATTACAAGATTGGTTCACATAATGGAAAATTTGACTTAATCAAGACAAATCCAAACATAAAAAATTTACTCTTCGAAAAATCACCTGCCCTCCAGTTTATATTGACAACAATCAAATTCCTCAAACGGACACGGTACACTACCTTGGGCTCACCTTCGACAGAAGGATGACATGGGGTACGCATGTTAAAATGAAACGTAAGACACTTAACAAACGACTCAAACTACTTTACTCTCTTTTTTCTAAATCTTCAAAACTAAAACTAAAACAGAAACTGAATACATATACATACTTACTTAAACCCATATGGACGTATTCATGACAAATATACCGTATCGCAAAAAAAAAAACCCACCTACAAAAACTTCAAACTTTGATTGGAACCAAAATTATTGAGACTCCTAACAAAAGCACCATGGTACGTGACTAACAAAACTCTACATACTGACCTCCACTTTCCAACAGTTGACCAACATATAACGTCCCTTTATCAACGATTTTACACAAATTTAAATGGTCATAATAACAGACTTATAAGAGACATGGCCACAGCTGACATACCTCAGAACATGAGGAGGAGACTAAAAAGGCGTTGGATGAGGGATCTCCTTCCTTAATCGTAATTGGAACAAGTTAGGGAAGAGGTACTGCTGAGTACTTTCCTTCCCTAAGCATGTCAAGTTATTATCTCATGTATCGCCATCACATTGGCTGATTGTCAACAATAAGTTGACAGGCGCAAATACATTTTTTGTAGAGAAATTTTTTTTTAAACACTGATGACAATTTTTATTAACAATTTTTTTTCATTGAATTATTTAAAATAACATGTTTGAGGGCAACCAATCACTAATGCATAGCAATTCAATGCTTATTGAGGGTTTCCGAGTTTTCCAGGGATATCTTGAGTTTTTTAATCGCCACAGGGACTCGGACAAGGAGATTGTTTAGCATACCTGCTGTTTAATCGCCTTGGAATGTGTCATCAGAGAGTCGGGAATGTTTCATTCAGATAAGAGGAACGACTTTCAACGAATCGTGCCAAATTCTTCCTCATGCTGATGATTTGGATGATGTTGAATGCAGTTTTCTGAGCATATAGAAAGCCTTCCTAAATCTATAAAAAGTAGCCCAGTAGTAACCAATATAACCAACATTCATTTAATAAATTATACAATTGCCTATTTAACTATATATGTATTGAGATCCTGTAACCTCGTATTCTCAGAATATAAAATAAAGTTTTTAGACCAGAAATTTGTAAGGGAAATGATAGTTCGAATAATTACCATACGAGAGCAGTCCTATCGATCTTAGAGGACTGGGCTGAAAAATTGAGCCCCTGTAAACTCCTACTCTCCTGATACTAAATAGAGATTTTGACCCTGGTGCCATCGTTATGGTCCCTCCCGCTTTGTGCATGTAAAGTAAAATATGAACGTTATTAAAAAAAACCTTTTTTATATAGTTGAGTGATTTATATTTATTGGTATGAATGAGCGCTTTTCTCAATATAACCATTGTTTTTAATGTGAACGAATGTAACATTACTCAATAAAATGTAAAACTATAAAAAAAATGCCCATTTCATTGTTATTAAGTTTAATATTATTTATACTATTACTTTGTTTAGTATTGATAGCCTTAGGTAAAATGAAATTTAAATTTTTCATAATTATAATTGAATATTTTGACAAATATATCTATTTCTTTATTATTAATTTTAATATTATGTATATTAATGTTTTATTAAATATTAACAGCCTCAATTACTGATATTGTTTTACTATTCTATTTAATGTAGGTTTATTTATTTTATGGATTAATGTTTCTTTTTTCTTATGTAATATTCTACACTGTAGTCATCTTTAGCCACATTATTTTTTTGTATTTGTATTGATACTGCATCAACACACGTTAGAATTAAAATGCCACGAAACTTCTAATGATAAATTCTGTGTGATTAGTTTCATAATTTACTGACAGTTACTGCAAATCCTTAATATTAACTGAGAAGAATTAATTTGATGCCAGTAATTTTCGACTTGACGATTCTTTATTAAAAATATTAAACTGATTAGGAACACCTAATAGTATTTTAAAACGTGCTACAGGAAATCTTTAATAAACCTCGTAATATTACAGGAATTAATTATAGCTTATTTTCCTATCCCTTTATTTCTCAGAATTTGCGCATACAATGCAAGTGTATTTATCTGTGTACCTTTTAACTTTTGCTATGCACATTGCCTGATAATGACAACAGTATAATTAGCTGTCAAAAACGTTCTATGGGTTGGAAGCAAAAACCCTTAATTTATAATATCATTTATCCACTCAGAGCTCCCCTATTGCAGATTAACGTAATTATTAATTAATTATTTTATGCCGGTGTATTTTCTGATAGTTTAGCTTGATTTTAATGAAGGTTCAATGAATTATGGCAAAATAATATAACCATCATTATAATTTGTTTTATTTATATTATTTAATACGCAAATCAGATTTATATTTTTTCTAAATTATTAATGTATCGATGTTTATATGTGTTGTCTAGATACAACGTATGACAACTATATTGAAGAAAAGTGTTTGATTCTGCAGTGCAATAAATTAAAAATACAGTTTATCTAATTTATATTTATTAAAAAAATTATTTTTAAGTGTATTATACTTTTATTATTAAAATTTAATGTGATAATGTAGATTTGGGTTTTTCCAGAGTATCCTTTACCAATGATTTACTTTCTTTTTTTTTCGATAAAACTAATCAAAGATCATGTTGGAAAGAGCACATGATTCACAAATATAAGAAAGTAAAATAATATTTCATTTCACTAACTAATAAAATGTACCAAAATTTCGAATTTGTCCGTAATTATTTTTTTCTAATTACCTTTCGTTCCTAAGAAAAGAATAGAGCATTTTTATTATTTTGAATATACAGTCGTGGTTATAGAAATTGCATTACCCAGTAAAAATCTTATTCAATTTTATTTTATTTACCAGATTGCTTTCTGTTAGACCACTGGATATTTCTTTGCCAGTTTTGAGGCGATATTCTAAGAACAATCAAACCATTTATCGGCCAAATTGTTCGTTTGTTTTTTTTCCTCCCAGTCCCTTTCTTTCGCTCCATGGTGTTCTGAAAAAGATTTTTTTTTATAACTATGACTACCGTTAATTGGTGTTACCCTATTCTCGTCGCTATATCCCATGAAAATTCCTTCACTTCATGTAAAGTCACAATTTTAAAATTTTCTTCAGTTTTTTTTTTTAAACTGGTCATAATTACAGTATTTATCCTGGGATTAGTTAAAATTTAACTGAAAAACATTTTTTAAGTAATCAACATAAGAATTAAAAGAAATAGTTGATGCGATTTCTATGACCACGACTTGTATGTTCATTTCTTTCGTTAATCGAAGTTACCATACACTATCAAAAGCAGCTTTGGTATCAAATCATCTCCAGCAATAGTTTCACTTTCATCATCGACTAAATCGATCTGTTTACATTATTAAAAGTTTTTTATTTAATTTTAAAATGTTTGGTTACCAGGTACTACATGGCCGGCGGCAGCCTAGTTTGCGAACAGGACTGGCATAAGCTTGTCAAATCACCGGCCCCCCAAGCACCGCCCGTCAGGAAGGGAAAGGTCGGGAGGCCTCGGCGGAGCAGGGACTGAGCACACGGTAAGTGATCCATGGAAACACAACAATCCATGTATGCTAACTTAGGATTAATTGCAAATAGTCCATGGTACAGAACCCCTTTTATCCAATTATTTACATCCGTCGAAAACTTAGTGAATGACTCCATCTTACCGTAGCTTACAACTTTTTTATTTATGAAGATACTTAGAAATGGGGCGTTTTCAATATGGATATCTGTGAACTTTCTCTATTTAATAAGGTACTAAAAACACATTCACTTTTCACTTGAATTGTAAGATAATTTGATCACAAAAAAAAAAGTAGATGGAAAAGTTGTACGTTAGGAATGGATGAAGCCATTCGCGAAGTGACGGAATTTCACAATTTGATAAAAAAAAGTTGTCTATACCACGAACTACATATATACCTACTTTGTTAGAAATAGTTAAACACAATTTTAGGTTTGTCTACGTTATGAAATGAACTAACAAGGTAAGTCAATGAATGTGTATGTTTTAAGTGGCAGGGTTATCTAAAAATGACTTGGAAATCATTTTTTTTTTGGAGGCCGGATCCTTATTCTATTCAGAAGTGGTGCTTGGCTACTAAAAGCTCATTCAATCTGTTACATGACTGCATGCATTACAGTGTTACTAAGAAAGTACTAATTGCTTAGGTTACAGTAGTAGTGGTGGCTACACCTTGTTATAACTAACCTAAAACATTAAACTTAAGTGGACCCTACAGGATCATTTGGAATTGCGTTCCGAGGCACTATTGACGTTCTGATTAATTGTGTAAGGTACTGATAGACGTGTCTGGCGGATTTCCGAAAATCCGGAAATCAAAGGTTCAATCCAAGACTGTGGTAAAAGTGGTGGGAAGACTAACCGTTTCGTAGGTTAGTTTACCTAGGTTAACCATTGCAAATTCCTGATTTTCATTAAAAGTAAATAGGTTTTCATATCCCTTTTTAACATTTTTACAAACCAAAAACATTCAAAATTTTTTTTCAAATGGTCAAGTGTGCAATAACTTTTTTAAAAAAGTGCCAACTTCACAATTTACTGATAGAAAATTAATAATTCTTTAAGTGTTGTGTACATTTGTCAGTTCTTTTTCCATTTTTCTCAACAAATTTATTATTTTCGCAATACTTTTCAATTTTTTTAAGTAGTAGACTTATATTTTTCTAAGTTTTGTCAAAACGATTTTCAGGCACAAGGAAGTGCTTATTTTATCTCCGTTTTTCTCTTGATGTCCAATGCTATAAAGGGTAATTGTTAAATAAGCATTTTTAATAAAACACATTATTATAAATAAACAATGCACCGGATCCACACTGGCTGTTATCCCAAAGTTAACTGAGCTAAAATGCTTCAGTATGATTGGTACGTGTAAGGGTCATCATGATTGAAGGAAACCATGTCAGTCATTCCGGAATTATCGTGTAGGGTCTGCTATAAATATACCGAATGAAGAAAAAATAAGATGGTGCATATGATCGGAGGAAGGTATCAGCTGTTAGACAGTGATGGAGACAGGTAGCTCACATTATTAAATCCATTAACCGGAATATAGGTTTATTTTCACCCCCCCCCCCTCCCTCCCAGCCGTCATTTATATTAATCATTTAGCTGAGCGGCTAATGGCGGACCGGCGGGAGAGCCGTGCAAACAGGGAGCGGCCTTAACTCACCGTACCGCCTCATACCCAATTAGCTAAATATTAATTTTGAAATTTACCAATTATTCGATCGATACCTGGGGCTCGGCTTCTAATTTTAGTGCGTTTGAATAACGTCCACTCCCTGTCCGCAAAGTGAATAAATGTATATGAATAACGCTGCTCTGGCCAGAGATGTTTAATAAATGTCAAAGTTCCCATATACTGCTAACTTACATTAATCTGTCCTTCAGTTATCTTCTTGTTATATTTGCTTACTTTTTTTTTTTTTTTAAACAGCTGACGTGAGGTTTTTATCGTTTGCATTATTGCGATTTTATCTTTTTTGTTATATTTTATTGTTGTAATGATTAAATTGACGAAATATTGACTAGTTTCAGTTTTGTGAGTTTTAATCTTGTTAAATACAAAAATATTATACATATATATATAATGCAAAATAGTAACATTAATGAAAACCCGTAAAATGTCAAATTTAGTAATATTAACGAATAACCGTAAAATATCAAATTTAGTAATATTAATGAATAACCGTAAAATATCAAATTTAGTAATATTAATGAAAAACCGTAAAATATCAAATTTAGTAATAGTAATGAAAAATCATAAAATATTAAATTTAGTAATATTAATGAAAAACCATAAAATATCAAATTTAGTAATAATAATGAAAAACCGTAAAATATCAAATTTAGTAATATTAATGAAAAATCATAAAATATTAAATTTAGTAATATTAATGAAAAACTGTAAAATATCAAATTTAGTAATATTACTGAAAAACCGTAAATTATCAAATTTTGCCACTAAATTAACCACTTGCAACGAGGCTGATTGGAAGTTATTTTGTAGCTTCATTGTATTCCTAGTTTTTTTCAGATAACCTAGTAGCTGTGTGTATGAAATGTATTTAGTAAGGAGAGACATCGACAGAGAACTTTAACTTTTGTATACTGAAGAAAGTCTATAACTCGGCCAAAATGACGGAAATTATTAAAGCCGTCTGCAACAGCGGTCCTTAAATGTATGTCTCCATCCTCGAACAATATTTTTTATATGGACCCAGGATTTTACGATGTAATACTAATTACTAATTATGTTAATAATAACTTTAATCACAACACATACTTTACAAAATGTATTCACGATGTATGATTTTTTTTCAAACGACAAACTCAAATTAAAGATCATAAGTGTAAAGTTAGTATCAGGATTGTTTTGCGGACCATAATATAACTACATATCGACTTTATTGAAAAAAGTCACTTTGTTAATTTTTGATAGAGCTCAACTTTTGAGAATGGTTTGTGAATTTCGATCTTATTTATCAGTAACATTAAATGAATTAAATGCACTGAAATGGCCCATGCACTAAAATTTCAAATTCACGTGTGATAAATATTCAGGACGCAGTCTTTTTTTAAAGAATCTTTTTTAATTTTTTATTCATGCCAACGTTTCAACCCAAATATGTGGGTCATCTTCAGGGCGTGGTTTGAGCACTGAGGGTGGTGAAGTAATTGACCACCCTCAGTGCTCAAACCTCGCCCTGAAGATGACCCACATATTTGGGTAGAAACGTTGCCATAAATAAAAAAATTAATTAAAAAAAAAAATGACTGCGTCCTGAATATTTATCACCCATGATATGTAGAACAGTCGACTAAGTTCCTTCAATAATAACCTCAATAAGTTCTTAGTGATAAGTTCTTATTGATTTAAGGTTATGAAATATCAATTGATTACTTCAGCAATAAACTGAGTGGCACTTCTTACCGTTGTTTATAGTTCAGGTGTGAGACTTAAAGAACAATTTTTTTGAAGCATATATTCCGAGGATTAATGTAACATCATGAGATCGATAACTTGTGTAAATTGGTCGTAAGACAAATATCAAATGTATTTGCGCTGTAAATTGATATAATTCATAGATTAATTACTAATATTCAATACTCCATAGATAAATAAAATTGTCAATATAGAAGCGGTTTATTTAGGCTTTGCAGGTAAATGTTAACTGCAAGGTTTTGAGCCTAATTATAGAGTGCAGTGTTATATAATGCTTAGATAGAAGAAATATTTCTTCTTCAGGACTAATGGCCCAAAAGAAAAAGAAAACATTAATTTATGTTAATAAATTGTATAGAATATGAAACTGTTGATTCTAATTGCTCTCCAAAGAATCGTTTATGATTAAAAAAAAACCGATGTTAATAAAATGCGAAATTTCACGCTCTGCTTCGAGTCAGTTTACTATTTTTTCTTTTTTTAGCTTAATTAGTTCCCGGAATCACTTAGAAGGCAGAGTAAATGTGGAGGAAGGAAAGTGGGAGAAAAAAAAAACTGTGGAAGAAGAAGAGATTCCATGAGAAGACACTTAGAGAATAAAGAAACGGATCGGACGCGTTAGCCACCACCAAACTGACGGTTGGCTAAAAACATTTCCGCTAAGAGGTGGCGGCCATTAAGAGAGAAATCCTAATTAATTCATTGAGACATCTCTAAGGGCTCTTAATTAAGATACCGTCCGTCTCTTCCTGAGGCGGAGGAATAAAAACTGTTCTCTCCTATTAGGCCCCTCTGTTTGCACAGTCTCGTCGGATTCCGGTGTCTTGTCCCCCTCTCGGATATTTTTATTTGACTTTTGTTTAAGCCATCTTCAAGATATTTAAGATGTCAGGTTCCTACTCTCTGTTAAGTTGTTGTCTCTAGCGGTTTATATAATTTAACCTCATTAGACCTAATATAGATATTTTTAAACTTATCATGTCCTATATATGCGGACAATAAAGAAATTTAGTTAGAGGTTGTATTTATTAATTGAAAATAACTACATGTTTTATACAGCTTTTATTTCCTTAATTAGCTAAAGTGAGAAAAAAACTTACACATTTTTCTCTGAATTGCACATTTTTATTTTGTGTTTTAAAGTTTCCCTCACGTTCATTGGAGACATATTATATCTTGAGTTCATATCTGGCTATTTAGGAAAATTTATTTTTTCTACTATCATCCTTTGATTCAGAATACTGGACACGTATGGCACACAATGAGTCTACAAAAAGTCGGTGATCGGTCCATGAATGAATGAAAAACACGAAACATACCAAGCAGAACATTATCAATAAAACACGATTTAAAAATATCACCGTAGAATAAAAACCTACTATTCATGACGGTAGTATCTATAGATCCTTTTCCCGGCTCTCAATGACAATGACTTTTAGCAAAAGAGGTGTCAAGATTTACGAACAGCAATTTTAATATATATATTCGTACTATAATTTATACTCGTACTGTAATAAGAATTATTGAAAAAAATTAAGTAGCATCAAATCTTCAATGG